TTCATCCCATGGGTTGGGTGGAGTTACCTATGGAGTGTCTTATCACTGGCTACCTTTCATATTTATTACCTCAGTTTGGTGGATTACATGCCATCCTTCCTTATTCATGCCGATGAACCATTTACATATCATTGTGATATTATTCTTTTCTTCTGTTGCCTGGATACTACTGATTGGTGTTGCAGCTACAAGAGGAGGGATGTTTGGGATATTTTCGGAGCTACTAGGAGACTGTTGGACCATGCAAATACTCCAGATCCATTTACTAGAGTACATTGCCATTGTCCAATTTTAACCACCCTTCTCCATGTTATTCCTCTCCTTTCCTCGGCTGTCCATTGATATCCTGCTGGTCCTGGTAAGGGAAAATTGTGGGGACTCACAATACCCTGACCATTGGCATGGACAAATGAAATAAGACATTTGTGTGAGTTTTGCATCATTATATCTCCTACTGGTCCCATAGTGACCCAAAATTACCCAATTCTCAACATTTTTATTATTTAGTTTTGGAAATATAAAGAGGCAGCTCACATTACTGTCAGTGACAGCAGTTTGGTTAGGTTTACTCCACTGGATCTTTGCTGTTTTCACAATTTCTGAATTCATACCACCATAGCAGAAACCAGTAACCACTGATACCCAGAAGAGCCAAGATGAATAGAACTGCATCATTCACCTTCTGGACTCTTTCTTTCTGCAAAACAGAACAACAGAAGACTATTTTTCTCTCTGATGAGTGTTTTAATTCTAACAATCTTTATTAAATAATTGTATTAAAAATATATTATTTTAAAACAATTTAATCATTAACTATATACAATAAACACTAACAATTATAAATGCTTTTTATTATATGATCATTTTTAACTATTTGCAACAATTATTTTTCAATTAATGGCCCATACAACTCCATTGACAAAATCAACTATGCATTGCATTTGTGCAAGAAATTATTATTCCAAAACTGATTAGTCCTATTTCCATGAGTACCGATCTAATTCCTGCTATTCTGTTTCCTATTTCCACCATTACAGGGATGCTTAATGGGATTGAACCCTCTGTTCTGTGAATGCCTCGAATCACCTTTTTGTCAGATGAAATATATGGTATAAATTCTATGGGATTTCCAATGGTATTCAAGATGGAGCATGTGGATCCAGTATCCACATAACAAACCCGTCAAATTCTCTCCCTGTCTATACTGACATCAGTTAGGGGTCTCTCCTGGCTGTTAATAGTTTTTCTATACTCTGTGGGGCTTTGGTCCATTGGCTGAAATGGATCCTCCACCTGTACTGCTACTAATGACAAAAACCTTGACTACATCCTGTGACTTTAGTTCTGGCAGAAATTTGTACCATTCTCTTTCTTGTTGCACTGGTTGCATTTTAATTATAGTTTATAAACTCTCTCTCCCTATCAAACAAAGTAAAACAAATGACTAATTATGCAGGAATTTAAACTTTATTTTACAGCCTCTCCCCTCCATTTCTTTAGTTGAGATGAATGGAACCATTTTGTTACTTTTCTCTTTCCTTGACAAATATCTAGTTGGTATATTGTAGGATTGGCCTTGTCCACATTTCTTACTGGTCCCATCCATATTGGACTATATATGTGGCCCTTTTCAGTAATATGCCTGTACATAACCATATCACCTAGTTGCTATTTCTGTGGGTGCAGGATTGGTCCCATCTTCTTATCCATTTGTTTGATATTTGCCTTAAGAGCAATTGCTTCCTGTTTATGTGTTTCAGCAATGTATTTTAATAACTGTTGCATCCACTGATCTGTTAATACCCTAGGTTGTAATTCATCTGGAGGCATCCCAACCACCCATCGTTGTTCAGGCAATCTCATGTTTTGCCCAGTCATGGCTTTAAATAGAGTTCCTCCATGTGAAGCTACTTTTCCTCTGATGGCCATTAATATTAAAAAGAAGAACAGGAGTTCTTTTTATAACAGTAACGGCTGTTACTCTGAAACCTGTCATTAATATTAAAGGAAGCTTTTGGTCCCAATCCTTACTCTGATGATTCACTACTTTTCTTAAGGCTGTTTTTAGCATTCTGTTTGTTCTTTCCACTTGTCCCAAACTCTGAGGATGTCCAGCTTCCTAATTTCTCCTATAAAGTGTGACCCTTGATCTGAATCAATTTCCTTAGTGACACCCCACCTAGTGATTACATAATCTACCAAGACTTAAGATGTGGTTAAAGCTGTTATTTCTCATAGGGATAGCCTCTACACATTTTATAAAAGGATCCAATACTACCAGGCATTTTCCTCTTGCAGTTTTCGCAAGCAGACCAATATAATCAATCTGTAACCTGACCCACTGGCATTCTATTCTTTGATGTCCCAATGGCCCTTTTACTATCTTGGTATCTGCATTATTGGCAGCGCATATTCTTCATTACATATTCTTCCACATCTGTTCTGATACTTGGCCACATCCTATAGCCTACTAAGAGTTTTATCTATCCCTAATTTTCATTATTATGAACTAAGGCTATAATTTCAGATCTAACTTCTGTTGGAACAACCCATACAAACATGTCATCTTCTGTTTTGGTAGCTAACACTAATCCGGTAGCTAACACTAATCCTGTTTCATTCTGCCAAATCTTTCATCCCTGATATTTTTCTTTTGTTACCAATTTCCTTATTTCAGGATCCCTTTTCTGTAGCACTACTAAATCAATTTGTTCTATCTTTTTTTCTTCTTCTATTTTTGCCATTGGGGTTGATTGGAATTGTGGCTGCCATAAAATCTCCTCCTTGGTTCCTTTCTTAGCCTGTTCATCTGCCTTGCTATTCTACTGAGCTCTTTCAATGTTTCTCCTATGAGCATTCACTTTGCCCATTAATACTAGTTGGCTACTATTACTCAACATATCTATTCCTATTATTCCATTGCCATCCAAATTTATCAGGCCAAATTGTCCTATTCCTTGATTTGTTCCTAACCAAAAACATATTGGCTAGCTAAATGGCACTTTATTTTCTGTTTCATTAAATCCTTGCAATCTTTTTATTGCTAATGGTGGTCCAAATAAATTATTTTTACCAGTACCAAAAGTGGCACTTGTGTCTACTAAAATATTTTGTTTGAAGGCTCTGGTGTTAATCACCACATATACTGTTGGTCTTCCCCATTCATCACGTTTTAAATGTGCCACTAGGTCAGCATGATCATTTGCTGACACTGGGGAGATAGGGAGGCCTATACTTGGTCTTTGGAGCATGGGGGAGCCGTAGGTATGCTCTTCTCATGACTTGCCAATCTCAGAAGCAATTCTTCAGTGGGTAGCCTATCAATCTGATCCTTAGGCTCATACTGTAGCAATTTTCTCCAAAGCCAATTTCTACCCAGATCAGAAATTCTCTTCTTTTCACAAGGGGCAAGATTTTTATCTTTGCTGTCTTCTTTCCTTGGTTCCCCTTTATTTTGCTGGTTCCTTTTTTCCTTGTGGCCCATTGTTGGGGAAAGTTATCAGCAATGCCCCTTGAGGTTTTTTTCTTTGGGGGTGGCCATCCTTTCTGTATTTCACCTACAACTTTTCCTAGACCGTTTAAAGCAGTATATGAATTATCAAACATTCTGCTGTTTTCACTGTTAAGCCAAATTGTAAAAAGCAACAGAGGGTCCTGTGTTATATCACACTCTACGGTACCTTCCCATCCCGAGTCAATTCAGGATTTCCATGCACTAATTTCCAAGTCATACATGTCTCTGGTTTTTCTATTACCCATTGTTTCTCTACAGAATCAGAAAAACTTCACTTCTTTTCAATATTACTTCCATAGGAAAGTCCAGAAAAGTTTGCTGAACTTGTATGAGAGCTAACTCTGTTCTTTTCCTCTAATTTTCTGCACACAACTTTCTTAATGCTCACTACAGCACTGCTTCCCTGAGCTGCACTATTTACTACCTTCAGAGCCTGCAGCTCTTCCTATAAGCAAGCTGTTTCCTATTGGCAATATGCATGGTTAGCCAAAGTCTGCTGGTTCTGAGAGTTCAGAACCACATTTACTGCCTGCTGCCTTTGTGGCCATTTCCTTAAACAGCAATCTTGCTCCCTTAATATTTCAAGCCATTGCTTATCACAAGGGCATTACAACTTTTTAATCTTCAGCTCATCCTTTAAACTTCTCTCTTGTAATGTGGAGTTCTCAAGCTGAACCTTCTCCTTAAGTCAAAATTCCAGTTGCTACTGGAGCAACTGCTGAACCTGGTCTCAGGAATCTTCTAACCTTTTAGATTCCTCAACTCAGATATGCAAGCGTTATTTAGTTCTTTTGCAACCACAGTTGAGACATCTGTTCCTGTTGTCCCAGGTATATCAGACATTTTAGCCAACCAACTGGATATTGTACTCCCAGTTAGAGGACCTGTGGACTTGCCCAATACCCTAATTTGTTCCATGGCGCAAGGTCCATGAGGGTACTTCTCGGGGTTGTCTCGTGTATCACTCCCACTCAGCCCTTCTAGACTGTCAGAGCATCACCTCATTAACCCCTCCTGGGCCTTGGAGGTGGCTTGTTTTACAGACCTTCCAGGCACAGGGAGATAATGAGCGGCCCAGTGGCAGGACTGGGAATAAAACCCAGCTCTGGTGCTTCCTGCCCCATATTCATTCCCAGAGAGCACCCCAATGCTTCTGCCCGCCCATTCCTACCCAAGGGCAGGGGAGTCAGATCCCTGGCAGTGCAGCATCTACTGGGGACAGAGGCACCCATGCAATTGCCAAACACACCTTGCTATCACGTAAATGCCTGATGAGAGAGGGACTGACGCAAACCCTGGTTACTGGCATGGCTGGGCAGAACTCCGCGGCTGCTGCCACATCCACCCTACGCCCACTGGAGAAGGAGCAGCTCAGCCTCAGTGGGCATCCTGCCCCTCTGCTATGGGCTCCATCATTAACCATAGTGAACCTGGCCAGGCAGGCTCTTCCACACAGGCCTGTTATTATGGCAATTGCAAGACTCACCTTGTGGGATGGATGCAGCAGCTCAGCGGGTTGCTAGGCCTGCTGGTGCATCGAGGTGACAGGATGTTCCCGGCAGGGCTGGAGGCAGAAGTCCAGCTGCTGAAAGCTGCCAACTGCAGGTGACAGGGTGATCTATTGCTACAGGCATCGGCCTGGCAGGAGGGATCAAAGGCCCTGTTATCACATACACGTCTGGCCACCCCTCTAAGTGTCCCTCATGCCCAGCCTTAATCCTCACTACCATCCCCTTTCCTTTCACCTCAGGCCCACCTCACCACTCTATTCCTTTCTTTTTACAGATCTACCCCCCACTCAACTCCATGCCGCCCCCTCCCAGCAATTCACTCCTTACACAGGTTCCCCCATTCTTCTCTAGCCCCCCTGCTTCCTTGTGTCCCCTTAGAATTTACTTAGAGCAGTGGTGTCCATTTTTTTTTTTTTTTTACGCACAAGATCACTTTCTGAATTTAAGATCAACCCAGGATCTACCCTGCCCCTCTCACTCCATCCCCTCCCCCCACTCAATTTCACTGGGCTGGGGTAAAGGTGCAGGCTCTGGCCTGAGGGGTTTGGAGGGGTCTCTGGGATGAGCCTGGGGCAGGGGGTTGGGGTGCAGGAGGGGGTGAGGAGTGCAAGCTCTGGCAGGGAGTTTGGGTGTGGGCTCAGGACTGAGGCAGGAGCTTGGGGTGCAGACTCTGGACTGGGGTTTGGGGTGCAGGAGGGGGTGCGAGGTGTAGGCTCTGGCCAGAAGGCGCTTACCAAAGGTGGCTCCCTGCCGGCAGCACAGCAGGGCTACAGCAGGCTCCCTGCCAGTAGACAGGCAGGCAGCTCTGCGCGTTGCCCCTGCTCCTCTGCACTGACTCCACAGCTGCCATTGGCTGGGAACTGCAACTAATGGGAGCTGCATGGATGGCACTTGTGGGCATGGGCAGCGCACAGATACCCGCTGCTCCTCCCAGGGCCGCAAACCTTCTCCCCATGCTGAATGGCTCCTGCACAGCGTGTCTGGCTCCCTTCCGCCATCCCCACTAGTTTGTTGTGGACACTCCCTGCGCCTTACATTCCTCTGGATGAAAAGGAGAGAACAGGACACAGGCTTGGCTGGTATTTTCGGATTCATTTCTTTGGCCAGAGCAATATTTCTGCATGGATCAACAAATCCCTTCTCACATACAGCCATGACGTGGTTGGGAGCAATCCACCCTCATCATCCTCTCCTAGCTGTTGCCAGGAACCTCTTCAGAGAGTTAGTGGGTCACCTCAGGCTGACTTCCAATGGGAGTCCAGCAAAATAAAAACCCACTCTCCCATTGTTAGTCTCAGCAGAAAGGCCAACAATTGGCTAAGGCAAGAAGGATGAACACCCACCTCAAACCTGGGGAAGAGGCAGATTGATGGGAGAGAAGCTTGGCCTACTCTGGGCAGCTGGGACTTCTGTTCTTTACCGCAGACCAAGGCAACAGCCCATTAAAAATATAAGATAGCAACAGACACAGCACCCAGCCCACAACCCAGGTCCCTACAAACCCAAATCTTTTTCCACGTTGTTCCTCCTAACAGAAGATCAAATTATTGAGGCACAGGCCAAGACAGACCCCAGAAGCAGCTCCCTGCTCCAGCCCTGCTCCCACCAGCTCCACAAGCAAGTGAGTGTGTGCTGCTTAAGAGGATTCAGGGCCTTTAACACCAGGGGCTCTAGTTCACACATTGGCTCAGCTGCCACGGTCTTTGGTTTTTTTGCCCCAAGTCAGGCAGTATGAGGACACCTCATCCCTGTCCCATCGGAGCTTATGACACTTCCCAGCGCCGTGGACTGCAGCATCCTGCCTCGCTGGTGCAAGAGAAGACTATGCAGGTTTCCATTTAAGAGCAGCCGTGCAGACTGTGGGTTTGTATAACCCCCTGCTCTTGCGTGTGAGCCAGCAGTGTGTACTCAGTGTGGCTGATCAGCCCACAGCAGGGAGGAGAGGTGATGGGGAGTCCCTAGCAGAGGCATAAGGAGGCGGTGGGCAGGATAGCTGGAAAAGCAGTGTCAGGACAGATGGACCCCAGAGAATCAGCTGCCCTGAGGCTTTATTCCCCTTCCCTGCTGCAGCCTCACTCCTTGGCCTCTTTGCGCTGCGCCTGGCGTTTCTGCAGTAATGCCAGCGTATCCCGCTTCTCGATCCGGCGTAGCTGCTTCTTCTTGGCACGCTTCAGCTTGAGCGGATTCCGGATCTGCAGGGGTGGAACAAGAGAGAAAAGCTGTGAACCTCAGCCATGAAACAACACAGACCAAGGACAAAACACCTCTTGGGGACAGCTGGTCAGAAAAAAAATGCTGCTGGTATCTCATGAGGTATCTCATGAGAGTTGTATTTCAAGTGCCTCATAATCCCACTTCTCCTCTATAGGCTGGGCTGCCTGGTCAGACTACATCTCCCATGATGCATCACACTGGCCCTTCGTGAAACTGTATATAATGGGTAGTCCTGCCTGTGGTGCCTCATGGGAAATGTAGTCTGGTTGGGGAGTCCAGCCCATAGAGAAGAATGGGAGCATGAGGTAACTCAACTACAACTCCTAGGAGGCACCATGGCACCTTTTCCAAATGGAAACATTTCAGTTTTTCAAATAGAAAAAAAAAAAAAAAAAAAAAGAACAGTTCTCACCCCCAAAAAACAAAACAAAAAGTTAATCCTCCAATTTTCAGTCAAAAACAGTTTCAGTGGAAAGTTTTCAGCCACCCATAGCACTGGGGCAGTGGTTCCCAAACTGGGGTTCGCCAGAAAAATTTCACTAGTGGCGGACAGAGGACCCTGGGCATTGGAGACAGCAGGTGGGACCCGGTTGCAGGGCAGACACCCC